ATTAGTGTGTTAGTTTAGTGTGTATATTCAGTGTGTTCTGTGTGTATTAGGTTGTACTCTGCTGAGCCCGCATATGCTCCGGAAGCTGTTTTTGGAACAGCCCCTCTTTAATTTGCGTTGTTGTAAAACTCCCCTTTTATACATAGTCAGGCTCCGGTTTGTTAGAGTCCTCCTTTTGTTTAGTCCTTTGTTGGACTTGCGCCGTTTTGGCTTTTGTTTATAGCTGGCCGTGTGCTCGCACCTCATATTGTTTACAGTGAAAATAAACCTCCTATAATTATTTACCAAATCCAACTGGTGTGTGCGTCGTTCCTCTCCTCCCCCTTGAGAGGGCGTAACGGTTGCCCTTACATGTGAACGCGCACCTAACTAGATAGGACACGGCTGGCTTGAGCGAACGAGTTGATAGCCAGCGTCGTAGGACAGTTTAGCGAGAGCGGTTTTGGATTAAGTCAACCGGATAATTCAAAAATATATCCAGGATATGTTGAACTAGATACGTAGTGTAGGCCCCAGGCTAGCCGTTCAGCATAAGTTACCGTGGAGATCTAGCCCGCTAAGAAGTGAACCAGCGTCGTAGGACTGGAAACCCAGAGCTTTCCCTGAAGTTACCTCGCTAAGCGAAAATCCGGCTTCGTAGTACCAGAGTGTAGGAATACTCTGTTACAGTAAAAGTTCTGCAATTAAAATGTTACTCAAGTAAAAGTACAAAAGTATAAGCTTAAAAAATTACTTAAAGTAGCGACAGTAAAAGTAGTCCTTGTGCATAATATATATGATATGTTTTATAATGATTGATCATTAAAGTGTTCTCAAAGCTGGTAAAGGTGCAGCTAGTTTGAATGACTTTGTATACTGCAGGGTAGCTGGTGAATTTACTCCAGGTGGAACTAAAGTCTGATTTAACACTTGATTAGATTTCACATCATTCATCCTTATTTTGATAAATGTCCCAAATTGTATTCTTTTAAAGTCGCTTCAATTGGCCAGCTATGTAACTTAGTTTACTGTAATTACTGCTACTCATTTTTAGCCATGGTTGTGTACATATTCCTCTTTATTTGTATTGTATTACTAATGTGTGCTTTACTTTTTTATTATTTAATGTCTTCATGTTTTACCTGCTATTATAGTTTTGCTGTAACACTGTAAATGGGGCTGATAAAGGACTTCTGATCCTGATTTCATGTGTTTCAATGATCTACAGTGAGATTGATGCGGTGTTCCAGTGCAGCTGCAGCTCCCTCCGGAGGCCGCTAGGGGGCAGTGTGTTCTTACTGAGGAACCAGAGCTTTGTTCAGAAGGAAAGGACTCTTTCTGGACACAAGATGCAAATAAAGCATAACCTAATCTGCAGGAACATGCTATTTTACAGAAAGACTTACTTTGCTCAAGACACAGAACAGAATTTAGACATTTGGTATGATCCTAAGTATATGAAAGTGTTGAATGCATAATGCATTTAGTCAAACTCTAGGTTTTTTAGGAACGCTTTGGGATTAAAGTTAAATTAACAGTAGTGATAATCAGCACATGGCTGCGTTGTTGGATCCCGATGTACTTAAAGTATGGAACTCTTTTTTGACAGAGAGTTAAACCTACATGCATGAAAGAGGAGATATGACTGATGTCCCTGACACCTGTGTGTTGTGATGCTCCCCAGGCCTGTGTGTGAAATGCAAATGTTCAATGCAAAAGAAGAAATGCCTGCTGGGCTCTGACCCCACCACCTCTCTCACACACACACACACACACACACACACACACACACACACACACTCACACACTCACAAGCACACACCAGGAATGTAAGGTAAAACTCTGATCGCCAGCAGCTGAACACCATCACCATGTTAGACACATCACCACCGAGTGATTCTTTACAGGGAGCCTGTTAGCGACACTTTATTCTGTCATTTCCACACTCAAAGCTCCGTCTGCTAGCAGCTAGCAGTGAAACATTTTCAATTGCACAAAAAGCTGGTGGTTTTTGTCTTTTTGAGAAAAGTTGATGCGATAAATGCATCATGGGAATATTTCTGCAGAATTTTGGGTAGTTCATATTTAACCCACATGTTCTTGCTCTTGGATTTATTGGTCTTCAGACGGCATGAAACATGGCTGATACCAGCCGACATGAAAGGACAATTAAAAGTAATAAAGCTCTCTCCATTTTGATGTTTACAACATCTACTTGTTTTATTGGATCAAGTACAAGATCGCAGCAACGTGTAAGGAAACGTTGCAAAGCCTTTATTCACCAAACCTACTGATGTACTTATGACCAACTCACATTCTGTTGCTTATCTCCAAATATCAGAGGTTTCAGGCGTTTGGTCACACACCAAAGAAAGAGATGATAATACAAATTGACCTGATGATCTCCACACTTCATATTTTCTGCCAATCGGCGAGTGAATGGAACTCTTTCCCATGAGTATCAAATTCATTTTTAAAGACCCAATAAGAGTTCAGAGAAGGTTAAAAATACATATTTACT